CCCCCCCCACCGGCGCATTCCCTGCGAGTCTGGGAAACTTGTCGTATCGAGAAAATATCCAAAATACGATGTTTTTACGGTGCATACACTGCACTGTGCATAGGTATAACGCAAATAACAACTGCAGGTTGGGTGAAAATGTAGCACGAGTTCCTGGGGTAGATTCACGCTACTTCACCTCGTTATATCCCACGTAACTTGCATAAAGCTCGTTATGCAATGTTACCTGCGCTTTAACAGTGACTCCCAATTACATCAGTACAATGCACTCTTTTTCCCCAATTTTTTTTCTAATTACTTTTATTTCCTTCAGCTTTTACGGGCGCAACTTGGCTTTTTGTGAGAATCACTCTAATTTGGAGAGTCGACATTCCGGAGTTTTAGTGGTAATTGCCGAGTCTCAGTAGGGTTATTATTAAAAGAGGAGAGTCACGAAGTTGTTGGTCCATTTGGGAGATCGTTTTCAGTCAATTTTTAGTTTATGAGAGATGTTACTGTTGAATGACAGAATTGCGACGGGTTTTTCATTTATCTCAGGAACGTGGAAACTTTCCAATAATTGATGAAGCTAAACCCACAGATGTTTGAGGTAAATAAATGTTATTTGCGTCAGATAAAGGAATTTATTTGAATGGCTCCATTAGTTAGGGTTGAAATTAATGAATTGACATGTAATAGTACTTCATTTGGAATAAATGAATTATTTATTTCGTGGAGTTGAAATATTTGCCCTGAAACAAATATACACTGTTAGAAAAAAATTGAAATTCTATGGACGGCTTAGTAATCATTGCCAAGGAAACGACATTGAATTCGATTTAAAGAGGACACCATCGTGAAATTTCAAATTCAATGGAATTCCAGATGTTTAAACTGCAAGAAGGCGAAGAATCATTCCTTCAATTTTCAATCAAAGCATGAATATTTAGCACCAAATTGTACTGAATTTTCATTGAATTTGAAGTTCAAGAATTTATTTACCTAAACCTGCCTGAAATTTACAGTTTCAAATGATTTTTTCGTCAAATTATGAATTTTACATCACGAAATGCCTTGAAAATTCCGAAACTATCGCTTGATAAAATTTCCAAGGAATAAATCTTTGAAATAATTAGAGAAATTTCCAATAAATACTTTTATTCGAAAATGCGTTATCTTTCAATACGGAGAAGAAGGTTAGAGAAAAATTACAGAAATTGTTCCAGTGAACGTAAACAATTGTTCAATATTGCGTATAATCTTTCCGTAACGGAGAATGTTTTTTTACCCACCGCGTTCTGTAAAATTTCGCTTCCATTCGTTCCCATGACATTCAGATGGGTATAAGAAAAAAAATACCCTACAGGTGTGGGAAATTTTACTCTACAGGAGGATAATTGTTGCATCCATGGACGTGTTTTTTTTTACCGAACCAATGGTAAAATATCCTACCGGTGTAACATACCGGTATTTTTTCATTGAATTACATTTCGCTCCACGATTACCTTCCGAACAGTAAAATTTCCCCCGATTTTCTACGTAATTTCTATCCACCTTGTCTCTCTGTGTACACATATTATTTTCCCCCTCCTCGTTATACGGGGTATTTAGATAGACATTGAATAGATTGCCCAAACGCGAAAGCTTCCCAGCTATTCAATTTTCATCCCTGCCATGAAACAAGATCAACTTACGTGGAAGAACGCCTTTGACGCTCCCCGAACGAAACTCGTTACACATGTTTAAACGAATTACCACCGAAAAATGGTGTTTGATGTTTTTTGATTACGTATCTTCGGAAATTAAATAAAAGTGTTGACAGTCTCCACTGGGCAATTGAATTGCCATAGGCAAGCCCTCCATTTCCAATTTCCTCCCCCAATGTATTGGGGTTCAACCCAATGCCTAATTGACAAATTGTTTCACGAGCTACGATCGAACGAAAATTATTGCTCACCCGTGGTTTACCCGTACAACGTTTTATTCAAGTATTTCCACATTGTTTCCATGACATTTTTTTTTCTTTTAACATTGCTTTTCGCTTTGAAAGAGAACGACGAGGAAAAAAATTCAAGAGTGGAAAATTGTTGGGCGTAGAACTGAGCGAGAAATACGAGACTCTGGAAAATGCAAAGAGACAAGAACAGAAACTTGAGAGGATGGGGGGAGGTGATGGGTGAGAGATGACAAAGAGACGAGCAAGTTTTGTGTTTAGTGCACGTGAAGACGTTTTATCCTATCCACAGCAGTAGTGCAGCCTCTTCGGTTTCCCTCGGTGCAACTTTTCTGTCGGTATTTGGAAATAATGGAAGGGAGAGGTTCGAGTTTCGCCTGTCTCTGTGCTCAAGTAAAAATTGATTTTCATTGTTTACCAATAGTTTTTAGTTTCGAGGTATAGACGAGTGAGGTTTTTATCGTAGGATTTTTTTTCTACTCCTGCATTATATCTTCGCCGAGGTGTTCGGGCGCTTCGCACTGATACAATTGTCGCTTCCGTCTATTCTCAACGCGCAGAGCGATTCAATTCAATCGTTCTTTCAGATTACAAATTGGTGGTAGCAATAGAGAGAATGCCGAGGTTGCGAGTTGTCCGTGGTGGGTGGCTGATGGAGAGAATGGAGGGAAAATAGAAGAGGAGAGAGAGAGAGAGAGAGAGAGAGAGCACAACAGCAACGCGGAGGGGGGGGGGGAGAATGAAGAAAGGAGAATGTATAAAAGACCCGGGCTTGTTCTTTTCGCTGCTATCAAACGTGCGCTGTCGGGTGAACATGAATACTCGTCTATATCGTTTCATCGGCTTAGCAGAGTAACGGAAATTTTACCTTCTCTCCTCCTACCTGTCTTTGTCGGCATTGAATTCAAAAGGGAGAGAGATCAGAAAGACGGAAACATGGAAATTGAATGACTTCAAATGCATGATATCCAGGAATACATAGGCTGAAAGTAATGAAACGTCGTAAAATTATCGATTCAGTAAATTCATTTTAAAAAAATACACTGATGTGTAAATGATTGCACGTGAATTTCGTTTTATATCATGTTTTTAATTTAAATAAAATTGCTATAAAACTGTGTTTTATTGTCCATTAAATTCCATTAAGGCATGCTCGAGTAGAAACAATTAAATAACCTAAAAATAAAAATTTATGTGTACATGTATATAGGCGTCTCTTTTGTTGAATGGAAATGGGAGTAGGGATGAAGGGGATGTGGAGAGGGATGGGGATGGGGTGTGGCGTATAAATTCAAAATGCACGTATGTATCGTAAGATTGATGAGAACGGAATAGTGGAATGAAAACCTCTGTAATGAACGAGGATTCGATCTTCCCACGGAGCAGTGAAAGTGAAGTAACCCAGGTAGATTAGTTCACGTGTCGGCCAAACACTTTGGCCTATCGTTCTTTCTCTGTTCACTTTATCGTCTCTTTCTGCACAATGATTCCTCCGTCACTCTGAGGTTTTGTCTTTTATTCACGAGTTAACGTCCTTACCGCGCGCGCCCTCGCCACAGTTGCGACAACACACGGCCAATACTGCTCAAGGTAGCTCATTGTTTCCGATGAAGGGAGGGATTGAATCGTTTTGCAGGCACAGAATGCGATAACTGTTGCCTACTTGTTGTTTTGTTGTTCACCCAAAGGTCGATCTTGAGGTTGGCCAACTCTTCGTCGGGAGTGTGCAGCTGATGGGCGGTAAAAGAGGAAATTTTCTTTCATTATTATTAAAATGTGCTAAAGATATGATTCTCAGGACGTTAACAAATTGAAGTATGCGTTCAGACGTGATTTTATAGGTCATCGTAATATCGACGTCAATTTATTTTGAAGAGCGAAAAAGGGCGATATAAATCGTTCCCACAATATTTCTCATAAAATCGCACAACGTGTAATCATGATCTCATAATTTTAACCTCTCGCAGAATAAAATTAGAGAAAAAAGTCGATGAAGAATAAGACAAATATGAGGATCGTGACTCGGATTAATCACAACAAATTTGTTTCAGCGACACAATTTATAACATTTTTTTTTCCCTCTTCATTACGCTCTTACAAATTGAAGTTTGAAATCATCGTGTTACAGCTACTATTGCATTAGATTTCACGTCACGTTGTCCCGAGCAATTACCGATTACAATTGGCATTTAAAGCATTTCGAATATATATTGTTTGGATGAGTTGACACGAAATCCTCGACATTTCATAAATCAGCCACGATGCTAACCCCAATTTTATCCACACTTATTCGGTCGTTTCGCTGTGTAACTCCTCCATGAATTAGTAATGAGGTCGAGTTTCAGGAGTTCATGCAGTTCGCTCAATAAATTTTTCCATTCTTCTATAGTTTGGCACCCGTCGATATTTCTTTTCACGAGTTCAATCTTAAATACACCCGGATGCTTTTATGAAAATTGATTGGTCGAATTATAATACGTGAATAAAAACAAAATGATTGAAAATAGGAGGGAGAAAAATTCACACCGCCTTAAAACAGGGGAGAAAAGGATTGGGATGGGGACAATTGAATTGGTACGATGGAGTTTAATAGCCCCTATTGAAGTTGCCCGATGGTCGTTGAAGATCCAGACGTGGGGTACCCTCGTAAGTAACCTGGGCGCTAAATCCATGCTTCCAATCTGCCGTATAACGAACAATTTGCGTGCGTCCGTCCGGAAGTTGAACCCGGTATTCTCCTCTCGTCACATCCCCATCGCTAATCGCATTATGCGAATAGTCGTTACCAAAGGCATCCTCTTTCACAGCGTAATTGAAATCAAATGGCATGCCAGGCTCATGATGATGATCATGCTATCAACAATAAAAACGGTGAAAATTTTAAATAAATATTTTCATGCTAATGACAATTCACCTTGCGCCAGCCGTAAAATCACATTATTATTCCCGCAATTATTCATGTAATTATATGCAATAGAGAAATGAATGGAAAGAAAAATATTTATATAAAAAAACATTTCTGACGCCCGTGTGACTGTAAAAAACAATCGTTGTGTGGGCGGCTAACAATTCAACGCCTGGGAAATAGCCATTGTATATTCTCTTTTAATACTTTTTTCCCCCCCTCCTCCTCATCCAGTTGGCATAGTTTCATTCGCATTTCTGCGTCATGTGAGATATGGAGAGAAAAAAATAAATAAAAAAGACGAAAAAAAAAAATTATAATTTTCCTCTTATTACTTCAGCACACCGGAACTCAACTCTGGATGTCGCGTCGCACCCAGTAGCTGTTATTGTACGCACACGAGAGGCACTCATGTACAATGTAGAAATGGCGTTGGGCTTCAACAGTGAGAGCGAGTATTATCTTGGTATCATGGTATTAAAGCGCAAAACGACTGGCGCAGTCTGCCACTCGAGATTGTCAAATGAAATTAACTCCCACCTTGGCCATAGTAATACCATCACACGACTCTAGGCACATAACCCCGGGATTTTCTATTCTCCACGAAGACAGCGAGCAAAGTTACCTACGTGTTTAGTTGCACAGAAGTTGCATACATACTGTTATGTGTATGTGTATGTACAGGATTGCCTGTCTGGCCTCAAAGTATACTAAATTTATCTCACTATGGAAACAAGGGTAGCAGTACACCACATTTGAGTGTTGTGTAAAGATCATTTGCGTAGGAAATTTACTTACTCCAGGTGGCACAGTGTTTCCATTATTGCCGGACGGTTGGCCGGTATAATCCGGAAAACCTGGTGTTGGTCGAATGCCGGGCCCTGGATATCCCGTGGGTCGTTGGGATGGCGTTGGAAAAACCGGTGTTGGACGTGTACCGGGGCTTGGATAGCCTGGTCTACTGGTTGGTGGCGTTGGCCGGGCTGGACCCGTTGGGAAGGTCGGCGGTGGTCTTGATGGACCGGTGGGAAATGTACCTCTTGATGGGGGAAATGATGGCGTTGGTCGCGGTGAAAATGGAACTGATGGGGTGTTGTAGTCGTAACCCTTCGTTGGATCGGGTGGTAAATAAGTGTTGCGACGAGTTCCCGGTGGTAAATCACTGAGGACACTGCCCACCGTCACGCAGAGGAGATACAACTGGGGGGGATAATTATCATGAATTCTTAATGCAATTGAAGCTTCGTATTTTGTTTTTAATCAGGATAATAGTAGGATTGTGATGGCAGGAAAAATTACGGGGCAAAATGTAAGTGATGCGAAATGCTCGTTCGGGAATTTATTTGGAAGTATTTCGGAATAATTTGAAGGGAAGAATGCGTTCTTTCTATTGAGTTCGGGAAATTTTATGGGGCGAAATGTTATTTTTACGGGTTGACACGTAGTTCCTGTGGTATTTTTTCTGCAACTTCCTTTTTTTAACCATCTCGAAATATTACAGTTATGGTGAATTGTGAGATCATTATGTTACATGTAAGATTGAATGAAGACACTTCATTATTTTTTAATTTTTTCAACTTTGAGATTTTCTTACGTAAAATAATTTGGAATAAGTCTAAATGTTGAACATTGTTAATGTATTATTATTCCATTATCCAACATGATTGTAATATTTGGAGGTGGACTTTGACCACATGGAAATGACTAGCCTGGAAAAATACGCTCTTAAAATAATAAATTATCCCTGCCCTACGGGGTTAGCGCACCCCGGCGCCCGGTGCCCCGGTGCCCGGTGGTGGGCAGGCTTAGCTTTGGGAAGCTGAGCAGCGCTGAGCGTGGTCACTAGATAGATGGGTGACCGCGCGGGAAGCAACATTGTTTAGAAAAACTGAAAAGAACATTTGGGAAAAACAAATATGCGGAATAAAAAACGGGATGAAGGAATAAGAAACCGTAAAAACCGAGAGGTATACGGTGAAAATGGAAAATGGAATAATAATTATCCCAAGAAAATGGTTCCTTGGCATAAGCATTTTTTTTTCTCAGTGTGCAAACAAAATTGACATTTCAGTGCACTTTTCAAGAGACGCAGAAAGACCAGAATTTTTCCAACTCTGTTGAATTTTCAATTAATTGAAAATTCAAGAATATTTACACAGAACAGCTGAATTGGAATTTACAGTTTCAGACAATGAATACAGTTTCAATTAAAATTGTAACATTTCAGTTACAGCAGCCAGAAAATTCAGGTTCAAACCTTTCAGACAGTCACTAGGTAAAAATTCACAAAAAGTGAACCGGAAATTGCAATCAACAATATTTGCCAGTGTATGTTATTAATTTTCAGTAGAAATGTTTGGTGAATGAATAAAAAAATTTCCAATAAAGAGTTCCATTTAATTCCGCTGCCTCAGCTCTCTGGGTTCATTATTTTTGAACTCATCGTTGCGCCGTATATTTAATGGACGTTGAATAAATTATATTCAATGCATATACTTTTTTTATCCTCCAAAATGGTGTAAATAGAAAAGCTATTGCTAATTTCGGAAAATCCAGAGGAAGTGCGATGAGAAAAACTCAATTAGAATTCTATGCAGTTGATTTATAGAACTGCTCTGAGTGCACAAGATATATTATGCACCCCCCAGAGACATGAAAGATTCATTAGGAGAGATTGAATAATCATGTCTAGGGAATCGCTTATTTCGAATGAAAATCGATTAGTACGAGAAGAATTCACATTTATCTCATCAACTGTTCGTCGAAATACCTAATTTATATTTGATGGGATCAAGACACAGCATGTCTACCACATATTTATTACGAAATACAAAAAGGTAATGCATCAGGGAAAGAGATACGCAGCCAGATGTCATGTTAAATGAGTTTTATTACTATCCATATGTTTTTCCCCCTGTTTCCTACTCGTGACCGAGAGAGTGTCTTTACGTTCGAAGTGGGAATGGCTCGTTAGGAAAAGGTACTCACTATGAACATGAAAGAATACGTGGCGCGTGTAAATGACAACGTTGTTGTTTGTAATTGGGTCGAGGGCTTGAAGGGCTCTTTTACACGCGCCATCAAACAAGATTCTGGGCCGACCAATTGGTTTCAACGATGAAATTGTGAAACTATCTGTTAATTTTATTTTTTCCATTTTCCCCGTTGTTATCATTTTTTTTATATTTCTGGGATATACACTGGAATACTTTACAGTCGGTTGAACGAATGAACCGGGTAATGGCACGGTCACTGCGTAACATCAGCCTCGATTTTTTTTTTACGTTTCACTTTTTATTTGCATTTTTTCTCCTGTACCTTACTCCCTTTTCACAACGTACTTTCATCAAACCTTCTGACAGTTGATATTTTCCGCTTTTTTTCAGCAATATTTTTTCCCCTGTGTATATACCCGTTCGTACGGAGCGGGTATGCAGTTTATGGTTGACACGCGTATATTTTCATTTGACTATCTGATGGCTTATTCATTCGGCGGATAGAACGTTTATCTGTGAGTGGCCGATGAATTATTTGTCTCGTAAAACTGGCTCGCTACAATAGGCACGTCCATCTTTACCTTACCTATGACTAATGGATGTCGTAAAGCGATTTTTTCCATCGGTTAGTTCGCTTGCAGCAGAAAACCTAGAGGGTGCCGTAATTGACACATCGCAATAATTCAACTGCGGGGGGATGGTTTTTGATAGTCGGCTGTCTTGAGATGAGATCATGGTACCATCTGCAGACTTCACCCCGGATGCTGATTGACGAAGTAAACTTGCAGAAAATAATGAAAATCGGTTGTCTCCGGATCCACAGTAATGGTTTGTTTGAATGAAATGAACTTATTTTGTGTAAAATTAATGGATTTAGAAAAATAGGTGGAAGATGAACAGTTCTTTGGTTATGAACAAATGTTTTCTTGATCCAACCACAGACAGAGCTTTTATTTGAGCCGCATTTGACCCTAAGTTTCCTATATTTTACAATGATTTTATTATCTAAATTTTGTAGGTCTGAATTTTAATCTCGATATTGAACCGTTAGAAAAAATTTAAAATATCTGAAGAAATTAGAAAGTTTACTTTTGGAGGAAGATCGATGAAATAATTTCAAAATTGCAATTTTTGAAAATTACGAGCATGTTCTATAAATAATTTATAAACAATCGATTTTATGCTTAAAAAAATTGGGTTTCCGAAAGTTTAAACAATTCCAATTATTTATTTATAAACAACTGAAATGACGCTGAATATTCATGATTTTTTTTTTAATTTTCTCGCCCAATTTAATTGACAAATTTGATAATTGAAAATGGTTAAATCTATAGTGTCGTCTGTAACAAACTGTAAAAGATACTACGATATCCTTAAAATTGAAATCTTTGTTCAGACAGCGAACCAAACGTTGTTATTAACATTTAAGCATCCTTCATTTAGATCAAGTAAATCCTTCATGCGACTTCACTAAAGAATTTATCTAGAATGAATGAAGCGTATTAAATTTTAATTTCGTTGAATGAACAGACGAATTTTGAAGGAAGCATTGTATTCAATTTAAATGCGTGATACCTCTCGTTGTACAGTTTTGATTATGAATTATCACAAACAGAGAAAAAAGTCTATTGAAAATCACCCCCAAATTTGAGCAATCGTGTAGCATATCAATCATCCAGCTATTTTCCCCAGAACGCTATTAAACAAACAGTAACTCTAGAAGAAATTACAATATTTCAGAGGATAATTACAGTATTTTGTGAAATTTTTGCTCCAAACATCACAATATTCACTGGAATGATGTTAAGAATGACTAAAAGTCTAATAAACCACTCGATTGCTGAAATTGAAGATTAATCTACAACAAACTGCTCCCCCCCAGAACATCGCCTCCATAATCGGCGCTAAAATGAAGAGGATTCCACAATGGCCAGAGAATTCCCCTCGATCCAATACTACCGAGTAATTTCGATAATTAATTGGATGAATAACTTCATTGGCCAACTTTTTCCATTTCCGTCATTGCTTGTAAGAGCGCATTGTGTCAGACCATTGTGGATTCCTCCTCAGTGTAAGCAAGAGCCACTCGATAGCCGGAGTACCCCAAGTAATTTACTCGGCGTGTCGTTTGCCGCTGAAATAACTCTTCTCTGCTTCTATAAATATTATCATTTTATTACCGACTGCTAGCATGACTGTGCCCACCCCCGCCGCCTGTCAGGAAAAAAACCGTAGGAGAAATGAGACAGGAGGGGAAAAAAAAGTTATAGGCCTTTTCATTACACCGTAGTGCGGCAGCAAAGAACGAAAAGGAAAGATAAACTAATATCGTAATAACAGATACTAATCGTGTCAAGTATTATAATTTACAACTGATATTGCAGCTCTCCAAGGCATCTTGGATTTTGAAATCTCAATTATCCTAATTATATCGAGCGTTGTGTGACGTTAATATTCACCAAGTTGTATGAAAACTCGTTGAGTGATAATATGACAAGGTAACAAGTATCTACACCCATCAAAGGTTATCAACTGCATGTATAATACTCCTCATAATTCATAGTCTCTCCCATCGATTAATTAACTTCACTCTAGTACATCTTTACTCACTCCCTTTACAACTACAACACTCGACTATTTAATTTTCTCCCCCCAGAGCTATCGTATCTCCAATTGTCAATCTACCACTGTTATTGAATTCTAAATGTGAAGTTGATGAACACAAGGAAATAAGTGGCAATGCCAGAGTATGGGAGATCCAGAGTATTTTCAACTTGACGGAGAAAGGAAGCGAGACAGAGAGAGAGATATAGGCATTGCATCACCTTTCATCGGATAGTTGACTCGAATTCTTCAGCCCCACTTAGATGTGACCTATTGAGGTCTCACACAGTGCACCTAGAGAATCTGCACTCACACCTCACCTCCCCTCTGTGTGACTACAGCCGTTACCCCCTTTCCTCTCCTCCTCATTCACNCCCCCTTTCCTCTCCTCCTCATTCCCCCCCCCCCCCCCCCACTCGCTCGTTCCCGTTCGTAAAGGTATCCACCGATGGAATAGAACGCGTTCTTTGAATATAACGATCCCCTGAACCTTTTGATCTCGACTCAGATGTAAAGAATTCACCCCTCCGTTCTTTCAATTTTCAACGCCTTTGCTCTCACACATTCTCACCCCCCATCGCTCTATTTATTGTTTTCTTTCTCCCATCATTTCTGATCGACAGTGAAAGAGAAGAAATGAAAGAGTGTTCGCTTCTTTTTGAAGAGCAGAAAGTGATAATGATTTGCTATTTATCGATGGATTTGTTGATAGGGGCGGGTGGGGTAAAACGGACACTTTAGACTTTTTTTTAAATATTCATAACTCAGAAACAAATTGATCAATTAGCTCAGTTTAGGCTCATCACAAAGGGAAAGAATTGTTCTTTGCATTGAAAAGAAAATTATTCAATTTTATCAACATTTCAACCCCTCATTAACTTTTAAAGAAAAGTCAGAAGTGTCCGTTTTACCCCAACCTCCCCTATGTGTGGAGGTACACTTGTTTCTATCAGTGGCGAATGCTCCGGTTAGTCACGGTAGAGAGAAGAATGTTAGGAAGGTGTAATATCAGCGCTTGTTGTCGAATACACGGTATTTCAAACAATCGGGTGATTCAGTGAATTCGAGCACTCAGGGACAGATAGCCGAGTCACAGGACACATTCTGCGGGACAATTGATGCGGATGATTGAACGTACCTGTATACGAAACATTGTGCTATCCCTTTAGGATTTTCGGTGCCTTCCGTCTTTCTGTGAAAAGGCTCCAATGAATTGTTTGGGGGGGGGGGGCTCAGTCTTTGCCCGTTTGGTTTACCTTCCCTTCGATTTTCACTCACAAGTTTACCAACTAAACGCGAACAGTGTCTTGTGACAATGTTGTAAGGACGAGCAAAGGACGTGCATACAACTGAATAAGTTGAAACTGTTTTGAATGAATATGCATGTGCAAGCCGTTGGTTAATACCGTAACGGTTAGTATGCTACTACTTGAAGACACGGTACGGTAACTGTTCGCCAATGCCAGCAAGTTCCGTTTATATAGCGTTGAGCCTAATAAGATGAACCTTCGAGGAGTCAGGAGGCAAGTCACCAAGAACTGGAGAAGGAGGTAAAGAAGCTACAAAGACGAAGAGGTGAGGACCCCCAACCCAACCGCACAGGCCTCTCAAAAGGCGATAGAGGGGCGACTACTCCCTATTGCCTTGTCGTTGTCGTCACTGAGGCCGAACCTGCTGGAGGACGTTTTCTATACATGTCCGGGGAGAGGGCAGTGTTGCATTACACTCTTGATACGGTTTTTTATAGTCGATTCCGTCCGACTTTCGTGCAATGAACGGGCAAATTTTTGAATCTCGCTTCGATGGGGAAATAAAAGTTGGGAAAAATGCGAGACGAAGAGTGAAGTTTTCTTCGCTGGCTCCCGGAAAGTTCCTAGATGGGAGGGTAAGTTGTCCTGAAACTGTAATATTTACTCGGAGTTGCATTGAAGAATACGCCAGTGAATGTGAATAATTACTCAAGCTGTAGCATCTTTTCTGTAAAATTTCACTTTCGTCTAGGGCCAGAAAAAAAATACACAGCACGGAGCAAAAAGTTGGAGAAAAAGTGCCAAAGAAGTTCAGTAATTGTGGAGCGCAATCCATTTCTACGGCTTTTCACTCTATATCGGAGCAAAAAGTGCGAGACGAATTGTAAATTTTTATTCGTTGTCTCGGGAAAATTTACTAAACGTGAGCAGTGTTAAAAAAATTTGATTGACTTTTCCGGAAAAGATTTTGAATTCGATTTAATGAGGAACAAATCAATGGAATTTCAATTTTTTCTGAACATTCCCAATTTTTAAGCCTGAATTTTCCTGATTTTTCATCAATTTTCCTGGAATAATTAAATTAAAATTGACAGTTCCCGCGGGTTTTTCCGCGAAATTATGAATTTTCAATGACAAAATTGCTTGATATTTCAGTGGATACGTTACTTGTTAGCAATTCCCGAAAGCTTTTGACAGTGAGGGTAATTTGTACCAAAACTGTAAAATTTACCATTTATGCCATCAAAAATTATCCCGTGAACGTTAATAATTGCTCAATATTGCGTAATTATTTACACATGTGCAGGAATTTGTTTGTGACGGAAAATAATTTTGTTTACCAAACGGGGTTAAAATTACGCTTTCGTCTGTCCCTATTTCCTTTATATCGAAGCCAAAAAAATGCCCTACCGGTGCGGGAAGTTTTGTGGAGATGATTTTTTTACCTAACGAATCGTCAGATATCCTCCGCAAATTTTTTTTTTATGAAATCACATTTCACGCCGTTCCGATTACCTTCGTCCCGCAAAATTTACCGAGATTTTCTGAATAACTTTTCTCCAACTTTTCTCTCCACGTGGTTTATACAACTTTTCAAATGAATTTTCATTTGGATATGAGTTTGGTTCATGAAAATCTCATTTTCCATTTAATGAGAGGTGGAACAATGAAAGTCTGGTTTTGCCGGGGTTTGAATGGACTCACTGGCTTATATTGGAAGGTGCGATGTAATATCGGGCGAGACGAAATAGGTTAAAATTTAAATATCGGGTAAATATTGACAAACTGCCGCATCAATCGGGTTGTAAATTGACATTCACGTGCGAGTGAAGTGAGAATTTTTTTCGTCGTCAGTTTTTTTTCAAGTGCAACGGAACGCAGAATAATTTCAGTCAATTAAAACCTCGCTTTGACTTTTCATCCTCGTGCATCAGAACTTTTATGATGGGGGGAACTGGTGCGAAGGGAATAGTTTCTGAGATTCATTTTTTGTTTGGACGAGAAATGTTTGTTGCTTTGAGTGGAAATTGCGACTTTTCGGAAAATGGGGCTAAAAGAAAATGCACGGGTTCTGTTGAATGGCGTAACTATCATTAACTATTCCCACTGCTCGTTAACTATTAATGAATCGTGAGAATAGTTGACAAGCCTCATTAACAGCAACTAAATCCTTCTATCAGTGCAGAATGAACTGCAGTGTAATTCCATCAGATTATCAATGAAAACCTCACTTTGTCTTGCGATCCTGGAGCATTAAGGCTTTTACGTCTCCTGGAAATTTCTATGAAGGGAATAGCTGATGGTTTGTCTCTGCTTGCAGGGGAAATGTTTGCTGATGCTTTGATTGAATGGTCTAACTTTTTGAAAAGTGAAACGAGAGGATTTCAAGTTTGTGCGAGTGAATGAATAACTGGGTGGTCTTGATTCAAATTTTATTCAAGTGGAGTGGAACGCAGAGTAATTTCATTCATTTATCAATTAAAACCTGGCTTTGACCTTTGATACTGAAGCATCGGGCGTTTTACGGTTTATAAAAATTGAAGCGAAGGGAATAGTTCCTGAGAGTTTTTTTTTGCTTGCCAGGAAAATAATTGCCGCTGCTTTGAATTAAAATTGCAACTTTTTGAAAAATGTAAGTGGAGGGAAATGTAGGGGTGATGTGGGTCAACGAATAACTGGCAATGAGTGATGTTGATTCAAATTGAATTCGAGAGCGATTCAAGTGGAACAGAACGTAGAACAATTACATTCACTTGAAAACTCTCTTTGACTCTTCATACTCATCCATGCAGGAATTTTACGTTCTATGAAAACTGGTGCGACAAGAATAGCTTTTGAGATTCCCTTCTTGTTCGCCGGGAAAATGTTTGACGATGCTTGAGCTGGAAATTGTGGCTTTTTGAAAAACAGAGCTGGAGAAAAATATAGGGGTTATGTGGGTCAATGAATAACCAAGTGGTGTTGATTTAAATGTAATTGAGGTCTCTCCGAGTTCCTCTCCCATGCGAATCGCCCACTTGATTCCGATTGAATGGGACTTAAAACTCATATTCATATACATAACTGGTGGTTACAAAATACAATTTTACTCATTTCTATTAATTCTCCGTATTTTCCCGGCCTCTCCATCACATCAGTCTCTTATTTTCCTGCTGATGCAGTGGCCAATTCACCGAGTAAAGCCCTCCGATAATAGACAGCTAAACAAATACCAATAACGAGAAAACTTTCGACATAATTGACAGGAGAAAATTTGAAAACAGCAACATCTCATTCATGTCTCAATTCCCCTCGTCTTGACTCTTGTGAGTAGTTGAAAAACAATTCACTCATGGGATGAGGTCACCATGCAGAAGGGGGAGGAAAGTGCTCGGTTACCCAAACAAAAATTAACCGACGTTTAGAAATGTAGAGGAGTTGAAAAGAGAATACGATGTAACGTACAAAAGGATGAAAGCAACGAGATGAAAAAAAAAAGAAAATGGGATAATAGAGGTTTGAGCGCAACAAAATGCGGAAATGGAAAACTCGGTTCAGAGGCATCAGACGTGACATTAACTATTGATCCAACTGAGAGGTAGGAGTATCACGTATTTGTGTGGCAACGCCGGTGTATTTCACGTGCATTACTCTCTCAACTGTACATCCTGATGTCCGTGGACTGCTATTGATCCGCCAGTATCGCCTTTCTAGGACAGATAATACGAGACCAATCACGTTTTACAGGGAGTCAAATTTTGATAACGCGGAGAGTAAAAATGGAGAAAAATGATGTAGACAATCTCGACAAATTTTACTGTGCGAAAGGTGATTCTGGATCGATATGTAATTCAATTGATATCATATCTTACGATCTGTTCGGCGAAAAAGTCACATCTGTGAATGACACAATTAGTTTTCTGTACAATCAAATTTCACGCAACGGTAGGGTATTTTTTACTGGCCCTGTTGCGAAGGACGGGAGGATGGGCCAAAGGGGAATTGCACGCTGTTGGAAAAAAATTGACATTTTGTGGACAGTCGGCTACGAATTTTTGGGAGAGTGACATTGAGAGTGATTTATGTGGGGAAAATCTTGAAATTTCAGATTTCGAGCAATTAATTAAAAATTCAATAATATATTTACCGGAATTTTCCTGATCTCTATTTATTTTCATGAGTAGGGGGCTTCACCCGCTGCTCGCTTCGCTCGCCGAACCCGGAGGCTTCGCCCCCTCGCTCGCGCTCCACCAATCCCCTCGGGCATGTTTGGTGGATTATACGGAAAATGACCGCCATTTAACCTGTGTATAACCCTCATATAACCCCCATATAACCTCATATCACTCTCATATGAGCGCAATATAACCTGGTGACCCTCATTGTGACCCTTGTGATCCTTATTTCGACCCTTGTGAACCCTGATAATTTTTCTGTTGGTTTAATTTACAAAACTATTACATAGACATCAATTAAACAGAAATTTATAGTTCTCATTCATTTCATCTTATTTCTCCATGAAATTTTGAATTTTCAATGATGAAATTCGGTGAAATTTCAGTGGAGCTAAAATGTGATAAAACTTTCCAAAAAGTGGCCCGAGAATTTCAGCCAAAATATGTTAACAGTACATACCACGTTTGTTAAAATAATTCTTCTCTGTTACAGAAAAATTCCTAGACATTGAGTAATTATTCATGCCACTGGCATAATTTTGCACGGAATTCCGGGTGAATTTTAAATTTCCAGCTGGGAAAAACTCACCGTCCTTTTCGCATTTTTTCCTTAATATAAGGTGAAAAAGATCTAGGAATGAGTTCCACTCCACGATTACTTGATTTGTTTGTTAATTTTTCTCCACTTTTTTATTCTACCCTGACACATGAAATCTTCACAATTTTTATTGTTACGTGTAATACTCAAT